CAATATAAAGTTCTTAATGATTTACATTGTTTTTTCATACTAACTCTTCAAATTCTGGCATTTTACACTAAAAGCACATTTCAATTCAAACTAGCCACATTTCAAGTGCTCAATAGTTATCAGTGGCTCCTGTATTGAAGAGCACAGGTCTAGATTTAACAAAGTGATGAAGCTGGGTGTGGTGGCTCACGCCTGTAATCCTAGCACTTTGGGAGGCTGAGGTGGGTGGATTACCTGAGGTCAGGAGTTCAAGACCATCCTGGCTATCATGGTGAAACCCCATCTTTAAAAAAAGAAAAGAAAAGAAAGTGAGGAAGAAAAATATTAATGAGATTAAATTTAAAAGTACTACTGAGGCTGAGAAATTTTAATCCAACTAACGTTTGAGGTGAGAAAGCAGTAGGTGATGTATCGATATATCAGATTTTTTTTTTTTTTTCTTTTTTTGAGACGGAGTTTCGCCCTTGTTACCCAGGCTGGAGTGCATTGGCGCAATCTCGGCTCACCGCAACCTCCGCCTCCTGGGTTCAGGCAATTCTCCTGCCTCAGACTCCTGAGTAGCTGGGATTACAGGCACGCACCATCATGCCCAGCTAATTTTTTGTATTTTTAGTAGAGACGGGGTTTCACCATGTTGAACAGGATGGTCTCGATCTCTCGACCTCGTGATCCACCCGCCTCGGCCTCCCAAAGTGCTGGGATTACAGGCTTGAGCCACCGCGCCCGGCCAGATTTTTTTTTTTTTTTGAGACAGTCTCACTGTGTTGCTAGGCTGGAGTGCAGTGGCGTGATCTCGGCTCACTGTAACCTCTGCCTTCCAGGTTCAAGTGATTATCCTGCCTCAGCCTCCAGAGAAGCTGCGACTATAGGTGCACGTTGACACTGAGCTACTTTTTCTATTTTTAATAGAGATGGGGTTCCACCATGTTGGCCAAGATGGTCTTGATCTCTTGACCTCGATATCCGGCCATCTGGGCCTCCCAAAGTGCTGGGATTACAAGCGTGAGCCACTGCGCCTGGCTGATATATCAGATTTTACGGCAATAACTTTATTGGGAGAAGGGCAATAAGGGCTGATCCATGGCCTTCACAAATAACAGGTCTTTATCCCTGGGACTTGTGATTGTCACCTCATAAGGAAAACGGGGCTTTCTTTTTATTTTCCGCTCACTCTCATCCTGGAAAACGAGTCTTTCAGATGTCATTAAAGATCATTACATAGGGGACCGGCTACAGTGGCTCACACCTGTAATGTCCTGCTTTGGGAGACCAAGGCAGTAAGATCACTTGATGCTGGGAGTTTGAGACTAGCCTGGGCAACACAGTGTGGCCCATCTTCTACAAAAAAAAAGTTTAGCCCAGGGTAAACTTTTAGCCCAGGCGCAGTGGCTCATGCCTGTAATCCCAGCACTTTGGGAGGCCGAGGTGGGTGGATCATGAGGTCAGGAGTTTGAGATCCGCCTGGCCAATATGGTGAAATCTCATCTCTACTAAAAATACAAAAGAATTGGCCGGGCATGGTGGCACATACCTGTAATCTCAGCTACTCAGGAGGCTGAGGCAGGAGAATTGTTTGAACCCGGAGGCAGAGGTTGCAGTGAGCCAAGATTGGCAAGTTGGGCAACAGAGTCCTTCTCTGTCCCCAAGCACCAGGCTGGAGTGCAGTGGTGTGATCTCGGCTCACTGCAACCTCCGCCTCCTGGGTTCAAGTAATTCTTTTGCCTCAGCCTCCTGAGTAGCTGGGACTATAGGTGCACACCACCACGCCCATCTAATTTTTGTATTTTTGTTAGAGATGGGGTTTCACCATGTTGGCCAGGATGGTCCCGCTCTGTTGACCTTGTGATCCACCTGCCTCGGCCTCCCAAAGTGCTGGGATTACAGGCGTGAGCCACTGCGCCTGGGCTAAACTTTTTTTTTTGTAGAAGATGGGCCACACTGCGTTGGCCTTTTTTTTTTTTTTTTTTTAAATTAGGGTGTAGTGGTGCACGTACACCTGTAGTATCAGCTAGTTGGGAGGCTGAGTGGGGAGGATTGCCCATGCTGATCTTGATCTTGCCCATACTGATCAAATTGCCCATGCTGATCTTGAGGAGTTCAAGACTGCAGTGAGTCGAGATTGTGCCACTGCACTCCACTCTGGGTGACAGAGGGGCCCTAAATCCAATCATGAATCTCCTATTAGGAGAGAGACAGAGGCCAGGCATTGTGGCTCACAACTGTAATCCAGCAGTTTGAGAGGCTAAGGCAGGAGGATGGTTTGAACCTGGCAGGTCAAGGCTGCAGTGATCTGTGATGCTGACATTGCATTCCAGCCTGGGTGACAGTGAGACTCTGTCTAAAAAAAAAAAAAAAAAAAAAAAGGCAGGAGACGTGGTACACGAAGACCACGTGACCATGGAGGCAGAGACTGGAATCTGCCTGTTCCCAAGTCAAGGAATGTTAACAGCCACCAGAAGCTGTCAGAGGAAAATCTACTAGGCAGCCAAGTCTTGATTTCAGCTCAGTGATAGTGACTTTGAGTTTTCCAGAATTTGAGAGAATCAATTTGTTTTAAGCCACCAGGGTTGTGGTAACTTGCGGCAGCCACAGGAAACTAATACAAGCAGGTACGATGCAAGTCCCTTTGTCACATCATGGTTGAATCACAACCACAGGCAGACTACAAATACAGTAATTCAGCAAAAAGAACTAGAACAGCTTTCTGTGACAAAAGATTGGTTATATGGAATTTATATGTTTTAATAATTTATATGCTATACTTCACGTCAGTACAGTTTATAACTTTATGCATTTATGACATCATATACAAGGTCTGTCTTCTATCGCCAGCACTGTGCAATCTTGGCTCGCTGCAACCACTGCCTCCTAGGTTCAAACGATTCTTTCACCTCAGCCTCCCGAGTTATCTGGGACTACAGGCATGCACCACTACACTCAGCTAATTTTTGTATTATTAGTAGAGATGGGGTTTCATCATGTTGGCCAGGCTGCTCTCAAACTCCTAACCTCAAGTAATCTGCCCGCCTCAGCCTCCCAAAGTGCTGGGAATACAGGCATGAGCCACACCGCCACCTAGTCGGACACTATTTTTTGAATGCATGAATGTGACCTTGGACCAGTCAACTTCTCTGGGCTGTTTCCCCTTCCACACAAGAGAGTTGGAGGAATGGAATGGGCTCCTAGTGGGGTGAGGGATGGTACAAGCTATCAGAGCACCTACTGTGAACAAGACTGGGCTGGAGACAGGGGTTGACAGGACTCAGCACCTGGCCTGGGGCCCTAGGAGATGGCTGGGAACAGACAGATTCAGAGTCAGATGTGGGGTTCTAGAGACTACTCAGAGGACTACGTTACAGAGATAGGGTACCACTGTGCAGGTATAGAGACGGCAGGAACTGCTAGGGCCAAAGCCCCCTTCCCTAGCCCTCCTAACTCTCCATACTACAAGGGCCTTTTTTACCCAGGGTTGGGAAGAGGATGAATCTTTTTTGAGATAGGGTCACCCAGGCTGGAGTACAGTGGCATGATCTTGGCTTGCTATAGCCTTGACCTCCTGGGCTCAAGTGATCCTGCCACCTCAGCTTCCGAAGTAGTGAAGTAGCTGAGACTACAGGTGCATACAACCACAGCTGGGTTTTTTTTTTGTAGAGACAGGGTTTTGCCATGTTGCCCATGCTGGGACCACAGTGTGAGCTGAGTCTGACTTTTTAACGGCAACGAAAAAAGAGGGACACACACACACACACACACACACACACACACACACACACACACAGTTGGATGACATTCTGCAAATCACTTTCCCTCAGATCCAGTGTTTCCTTCTCCAGGGATTCAAGGTCCACTCTGCCTAGCCCAGGGTCTACCCCTCCAGGCCCAACTAGCCACAAGACCACAATGAGACTCTGGCCTTCTCTCTTCATACCCTTGCACTAGTTTTCAGACTAAGCCTGGGCCAGTTACTTGACCCACACAGGAGGCTCTCTTTTCTGGTAAATGAGGAGGTAAGTAGCTTATCCAAGCTTCCACAGAAAGAATTTGGTCAAACACTGGCTCTGAGCACCAGAACAGAGTAAGAGAGATTCTAGGTGGAAGCCCTTTACCAGTCATAGGGAGCCAGATCTGAGGTCTGGAGGAACTAAAGCTCTCTGGGCCCCAAGCCTTACCTACTGAAAAACATCTGCTTCACGCCAGTACCTATATTCCACACTCTATCATGAGCATCTATCATAATGAGGGACCAGAGTTTTGCTCACTACTGGGGTCCCAGTGTGGCCTGGTATACATTAGGAACTTTTTTTTTGAGACAGTCTGGTTCTGTCGCCAGGCTGGAGTGCAGTGGTGTGATCTTAGCTCACTGCAACCTCCGCCTCCCAGGCTCAAGCAATTCTCCTGCCTCAGCCTCCTGAGTAGCTGGGATTACAGGTGCACGCCACCACACTCAACTAATTTTTATATTTTAGTAGAAACGGGGTTTCACTGTGTTGGCCATGATGGTCTTGATCTCTTGACCTCGTGATCTACCCACCTCTGCCTCCCAAAGTGCTGGGATGACAGGCGTGAGCCACTGCGCCTGCCTAAGTATTTGTTTAACGAGCAAAATCACTTGCATATTTTATACAAAAGCCAGATTCTCCCTTGCCTTTATACCTGCCATTTCCCTGTTCACCAGAACCAGCCTCTCAGTGATCGCCTCTGTAAGACGGGCTTCCAGAATTCTGGAGGGTGTGGTCCCTGGGCACTTGGACATCATAGTCTAGGAAGTTCATTCCCCTTGGAGTGGGAGAAAGAACAGTGGGTGGAGGGCAAATCCACCTTCAGCCACAAGCCCAAGGATGGGCATACAGGAGGCCCAGTGTCCATGACCAATCAACTCCTCTGGGACGCTGGTGGGCAACCAGCATCTGCCTCCCCAACCCCTGTTCCAAGTTAAAAAAGTAAAGGGATTAAGGAAGCACCAAAGGCAAGTCCCCTCTTACAACAACATCAGACAACTGTTTCAAAATATATTAGATTTGGTTTTTATTGTAGAGCACACATATCAGGGCAAAGTGCTGCACACACAACTACAAATCATTTTTGGGAAAAAAGCTGTAAAAAAAATAAAACTGCAACTGCTTTAATTATGCAGTCCCGACTTAAGAAATCCACGCTGGCAAAGGAGTTCTGGCCCCTGAGAGGGGCTTCTTGATGGTGGCTGCCCCAGATTTCTGCAGCCTATGAGGTCTCAGGCCTGGACCTCTGTACACAAAGCCCCAAAGTGGTGGTAGCCTGGCTGCTGGGAGGGCCTCTGCTCTTGGCAAACCCGGGTCCTGGCCTGGCTGACAAGAAGACATTCCTAATGAATCTAGATCCACAAAACCTTGCTGCCTTCCAGGATCTGAGTGAGTGGAAACTACCGAAGACTTTACATTTTTTCTGATTATTATTTTTTGAAAGCCCCTCCACCAACTCCCATGCCCTGAGGCAGAAGAGGCACCAGCCCAGTCTGCAGGCCTGAGCTCTGGCCTTAAATGCATGCTGCTGGCGGACAGAGCAGGCAGGCACCTTCCTAGAAGGATGACATGAGGAGGAGGTCCAAGCTGGCCAATGGAGAAGGAAAGGAAAAGGAAGAAGCCAGGAGACCAAAGGGCGAAGGGGAACTCAAAACAAAACAAAAACCCTACCACACACCACAACAATTTTCCATACCCAAAATGCTAGACTCGGAAGGACACCAGTCCCTCTAGCTAGAAACAATTCCTAAAACTGACCCAACGTGGCAAGTCTAACTGTTCCAAATAATCACACACATATGCTCAAAAGGAGCAACCAGCAAACAAGTGTGCTCTTGACAAGAGAGGTCAGGACCACTGCATTAGCCCCTCGGCAGCCCAAGGAAATGTGGACAGAGCAGGCTAGTGGGTGTGGGTGGAGGAAGCCTGGGGGGCTTAACAAATAGCTTTGGGATGTCAGGGGCTGGCACTGTTTAAGCCCCTGCCCAGGCAACCTGAACAACTCTGCCGCAGGAGGAAGAAAGGGTGTTTGCATGAGCTTGCAGGGTGCGGACGGCAGGTGAGAAGTGGAGAACAGCAGGCGCAATGTAGAGCCCGTAAGGCTCCAGACCTCAACCAAGTGCAGACATCAGTGGAGGAAAGGGGCGGGCAGAAGACTGATCTTTGTTTAGAACACTGCGAAAATTTACATTGAAAGCAAAATAATTTTCTTAACCAAAACATTTGTTGCTTTTAAATAAACCCAGCCTGATACAGCCTCACTTAAAGATGGCTGCTCTGCTCCACCACCTCTACTGGCCACTCTACCATCAGCCTCTGTCCCCTACAGATGCCAACAGCCTTTACATCCAGGAGGAATACCAAGAATATGAGAACCTAGGTCCTGGCCAATTCTATTTTTCAGCCTTAACAGGCAAACAAAACCAAGGAAAAATATATAGAATCAAAAAATAAAACAACCCCCCCCAAAACAAAAACAAAACCCTCAAAACAAAAGGAGGGGAAACTACATAGGATTAGCCAGAGTTCTCAGGAGGGCGGCAGGTAGACCTCAGTGCCGCCGCATCTTCACCTTTCGGGCAGGGCTGCCTGCCGCCTCGGAGCAGTCCTCTGCGGACTCGTAGGACTTGCGCCAGTAGTTCTCAGAGCTGAAGCTACCCCTCCGCCGGTGTGTGGGCAGCAGCACTGAGCGCCGGTTCTCTTCCTTGTCCATCTCCAGAATCCGTGGCCTGCGAGGAAAGGGAGGTAGGGCATTATCTGAGGCTAGCAGAAGGGGCCTGGCTTTACTGCTGTACTTGGTCTCATCCTTGGGATGGGTCATTCCAGCTCAGTGGTCCTCAATGAAGGGTAGTCCTGGCAGAGGCCCTGGTATTGGAGGTTCTTGCCCACTAAGTGCCAGTGACCACCCCAGTCTTTGGGACATTTCCCAATTACCCTATGGGGTGTGCCTGGCTTGGAGTCTGGTGCCCCAGGACACTGCAAGGGCTCCTGGACAGATGTCTTCCCTACAACAGCCTCAAGACCCTGCATGGTTCTGCAACCTATCTTTACTTCCCAACCCTACCCACTTTCCCTCTCACGGGCCTCCCAACACCCCCTTTTCTACTCACCAACCCCATGAAACCACAAAGCTCTTTTCTGTCTCAGGGTTTAGCCCATACAGTATTCCCTCCCTAGAATGCTCTTCCATGTCTTTCTTATCCTTCTGAAATCTGCTTAAAGATTACCTCTTCAGAAATCTTCCCTAACACTTAAATTTTTTTTTTTTTTTAAATTATCTCCTCAAATTCCTTTTATCCAACTCTTTTTGCAGTAAGTCCCTAGTTCACTATCATCCAAGTCCCAAGATTCCCTCCTAACATCTAAGTATAATTCTACAAGGGCATCTGTCTGGGTGAGACTGAACAAGGAAAATCATGGGAAAATCATGATATTCCCATTTCTAACAGTCTCTGCCTGACCCCTTCTCTCTTGGAGTACAGGCAGTTGGCCAGGGTTAGGTGGGAATGTCACCAATGCCACCAACCCAGGGGAACCATTAAGCTTTCGAAAGGGTGAGCAAGCCAAGTCTCCTAAACAGTCTGCCCCAGGCTTCTCCACACATCTCACCCTGCAGCCAGGTCATGGGGCTGCTTTGCTGGCCTTTGCTGAGGGTCCTAAGCTGAGTACCTGTGGGCAGCATCAGGGTCTGCCTTGCGGTGGGACCGCTTGGGTTTCAGAGCAGGGTCCCTGTTGTTTCCTGACAGGCGATCTGAAGCATAGCTGGGTGGTAACACGGAGCTGCTCAGGGACTTTGTTTCCAATCGGGGTGCATCTAATCTCGTCCTGCAAAGGAAACATGCATGGGGTCACCAAAGGGCCTCTCTGGTGAAGGTGTGGGGAACCATCAAACCAATTCTCTGGCTAGGCCAAGTGGGAGCCATATGGACCTGGAAGCCAGTTACTCTCTGCTCTGTACCTCAGTTTCCTTGAGGTTCAACCAGAGATTGTCTAATCGACTTTCAAAGACCCTCCTCAAGTCCACGTTTAGGAGTAAGGAATGAGAACATTTCTGTTTAGAGACTCCCAATGATAGGCTGTGCTACCCTAGGGGAAAGATCCCAGGGCTCGGTCTCAGCTGAACAAAGCAGCCTCAACTTACTCCACTTGGACCCAAAGGTTCTCTGGGGCCATTTACTTCACTTGCCAGAGGACCAAGGGCCCCACTGGTACGTCCCAACACAGGAAGGATCCCCGGTCCAGGCCTGTACAGGGGCTGGAGAGAAAGAGAACTGAAGCTACCCTATCTTCAGACAGCTACAGACAGGGATGCTGAGACTGAGTGGCAGAGCCAGGGTGGGGAACCTAGGTCCACCACACAATCATAAACAGCTACCTGGCAGTTTCTGCTAATTCCAAGATGCTGACAAGGTAGAGGCCAGAGGGCTTCTGAAGGCACAGTCCCCACCCAGCACCAGGTACAAGGCTTCAAGGAATGCACTGCCTAGTAAAGGGAAGGCATACAAATACAGATGAGGAAGAGGATGGAGAAGCTGGGTAGAGATGGAGAAGCTGGGTAGAGATAACTCAGGGCAGTGACCCAAGTCCTTCATGAAGCCAGACCAAAAGGGAGCTGGCCTGGAAAACCTCAAAAAAGCCCTTAGTCTCCTTATGTGGTATGGAGAAGGCTGGCAAGTCAGGCAGGTCGGAGCAAAGGGCAGGAGAAGAACCCATGTAATAGACTGGGCGGGAAGTGTTGGGCCACAACTAGCAGAGGCCCTGAAGGCATCTTTTTCAGGGTCTGTTAGACACAAAGTAGTAACTTAGCAGAGGCTATGGTCAGGGCAGGACTCTAAGGATACTACTCACAAGGACCCTGAGGGAAAGTAAGCAGGAGGGAAATCCAAGAATTGCCTTGGGCTAAGCTGCTTGACATCCTTGGTAACAACTACATCTGGTCCACACAGTTCCCCCCATTCCTCATGGCTGCCTCCCCACCTTCCACTGGCTGGCCTGCCGTACATAGATGGGAAGGATCAGAAGGGCAGTAAGTCATGTATCCTGCAAGTCTCAGGGAAAAGTTTAAAGCCAAAGTGAGACTTAAAGCCTGAAAGGCAATAGTTACTCCGAACCTGGGCAGGATGTCTCTCTCCTAAAGGAAGCAGGGTCATCTCCTTCCTTCCAGCTGGGAACCAATATTCTGATGCCTCAGGCCCAAACTGGTGAGTAGGCAGGTAGGACAGGCATCCCTATCCCTGTGCTTTGGCCTTGTAGAGGGGGATGCCAGAAGGCCCAGCTGCAGCAAGTGGCCCTCTAGTCTCAGGCTCCACTACAGACTGCTCCAGACTCATGGATGCAGAACCTAGCACCAAGAGGAGGCAGATCTAGTCTTGGCACTACTACTCAGAGTCCAGGGTAGTCACAATCCTTCCTCAGGACTCAGTTTCCCCATACAAGCAAAGGACAGAAATGGGACTGGTTCTGTCTTCTTTCAGCTGAGAGTCTAAGGAATTGAAGGCAAGTTGCCTCCTTCAAGGCTGGAATTCTCTGGGTAGAGGTGGTACTGGGCAACTACCAAGGATGAGGATGTGAAATAGAATTGCTCTTTCAAAAAAAAAGTGTTTTGCTCTGTCACCCAGTCCGGAGGACAGTGGTTATGATAACAACTACAATTCACTGCAGCCTTGAACTTTTAGACTCAAGGGATCCCCCTGCCCAAGCCTTGCAAGAAGCTGGGACTACAGACATGGGCCACCATGCTGGGCTAATGGTTTTTATTTTTTGGAGAGACAGGGTACCACTATTTTGCCTAGACTGGTCTCTAACTCCTCTAAGCGATCCTCCCACCTCAGCCTCCCAAAGTGTTGAGATTACAGGTATGAACCACGAAGCCCAGCTCCTGATGAGCTTTTTATTTTAATTTTTTTTTTTGAGACGGGGCTCATTCTGTCGCCTAGGCTGGAGTGCAGCGGCATGATCTTGGCTCACTGCAACTTCAAGAGATATTCCCATTTGAGTCTCCTGAGTAGGTCAGATTACAGGTACATGCTGCCACACTCAGCTAATTTTTATATTTTCAGTAGAGACAGCATTTCACCATGTTGGCCAGGCTGGTCTCTAACACTTGGGCTCAAGTGATCTGCCCACTCCAGCCTCTTAAAGTGCTAAGTTTACAGGCATGAGCCATCATGTCTGGCCCAATGACCTTTATTTTACCAGGCCTTGTGCCACCAAGTTGAGAGGTCCAGGTGGCAGAGGTAAGACTAAATAAAATGCTAGCCGTGCTTGACTTAAAGGACTCTAAGGGCCTCACTGAAGAAAGTCTCTCCTCTGGTACCCCTAAAGCTAAGACCCTATAGGTGCAAGGCAGCCCATGTTCAGGGCAGGAAGGCCCCTGTGTGCCCCAAAAGCCCCAGTGAAGCCCTGCGGGGGCACTCTGGAGTTGTTTCTTCGGGTGCTTAATGGATAGTAAGAAAAAAGCAGAGCCACTAAGATGAGAGCTCTTGACACATCCCCTGGGATGTTACAAGTACATCTCATAACAGCTGGAGAATCTCCTGCCCTCCCTACACTTCTAAAAACTCACTAAGCTGCATGATGCCAGGCTAGAGCTTAACTCCAGGCCCAGTGACCACCAGTAGCTTAACTTCAGAACATATCCCCGTTAAAAGGCAACCAACTCCCATGGCACAGACCAGGTCCTCAGGGTTTAGCAGAGAGAGCCACAAATCTGGATTCAAGAGGCCCAGTTCTAGTAGTAAGGTCTGGACCCAAGCCTTCTAAGGTGGCAATAGGAATGAAGACCTGCCTTACAGATCAGTCAGTATTCAAAGGTCAGAGCAAGGCACCTCAGACATGTGAGGTGAGGGCTGACCATGATACCCAGAGAGGTCACCCACAGTGTCAGAACAAAGCAGGGATAAGGGAGGTCACAACAAAGGATGGCTGTAGTACTAATATGTGAACCAAAGGGAAGGGAGGGAGTTGATCCTATCCTACGTCCTCGAAAAAAGCTGCTGGGGTGAATTACTCCCCCTGTAGGGGTTAGAGAGCAAAGCTAAATCCTAGAGCAAGTCACTAACTTGAGTCATAAAGCTACTACCTACTGATGGTTTCTAGGGCCAGGCATAGTAGCTCACACCTGTAATCCCAGCACTTTGGGAGGCCAAGGTAGAAGGATTACTTGAAGCCAGGAGTTTCAGACCAGCCTGGCAAACAAAGCAAGACCTTGTATCTACTTAAAAAAAAAAAAAAAAAAAAAAAAAAATATATATATATATATATATATATATATATATATAATTAAAAAATAAAGTGCAGGTGGGCCCTCCTCAGTGCAGCAGAGCACTGTGCAGGTGGTAGCACCACTATTTCTGGGAAGACGGAAAACCAGCCTGCACTCAGGCCACAATGACCCTCGAGCGAGGGCAGTCCCCAGTCCGCTACCAACTACTCTCTGACTTCTGGCTCCACCTTCACCAAGCACCCTTGTGCTAAATGCCTGGTTTTCCAATAAAGAGAGGAGGCAGACAGAGACCAATGTTGTGGGCCTATCCAAGCACCCTCTGGCCAAATTAGTAACCTGGGCCCCTAGGGCTAACATCTAAGCTTCAGCACCTTCGAATATCAGACTCCCACAAAGCTCAGGCCTGTACCTCGCCGGCTCTCCTGCAATAGTACCCATTCTCCTCATGAGACTCTCCCCATCCATCTTCCACCAGCCTCCTGCCAACATCAGACCCCTACCCTGCTCTCTCCACAGAGCAGTTCTGAAAGGTGTTAACAGCTTGCTATGACCAGACGAGCCTAAAAGCACATGAAGTATATCACCTACAGAGGAGGAGCCCCATGTACACGCTCCTGGGCTCTAAGAAGATCTCACCCATACAAGGGCCAGCAAGATCTGTGTATGGTGTCCAGGTCCCAAGTGGAGCATTTCTAAATCATTCAGACTAGTTAACACAATGTCGTAACTTCAGTGCATACCCGCCAGGGTCCAGGAGCCAGGGCTCCATGCCAGCCCAACAAGAGGACCAGTATCACATCTCCCCAGCTTAGGCCTGGAAAGGTATCAATGTCATCCTACCATCTTGGAGGCCAGACACCAAGTTTGCTTTCCCCTACCTGGGTCACTGAACACCACACCTCTGGGTTTCCCTTCCCTCCTACTCCATGTGCTTCTGCTGACACTATACCTCCACTGAGCACAGCCTTCCTCAACCTCTACCATCAAGATCAGAGAAGAGATTAGCTGGGCATGGTGGCGCGTGCCTGTAATCCCAGCTACTCGGGAGGCTGAGGCAGAATTGCCCGAACCCAGAAGGTGGAGGTTGCGGTGAGCAGAGATCGCGCCATTGCACTCCAGCCTGGGTAACAAGATCGAAACTCCGCCTCAAAAAAAAAAAAAAAAGCCGGGCGCGGTGGCTGAAGCCTGTAATCCCAGCACTTTGAGAGGCCGAGGTGGGTGGATCACAAGGTCAAGAGATCGAGACCATCCTGGTCAACATGGTGAAACCCCGTCTCTACTAAAAATACAAAAAAAATGAGCTGGGCATAGTGGTGCGTGCCTGTAATCCCAGCTACTCAGGAGGCTGAGGCAGGAGAATTGCCTGAACCCAGGAGGCGGAGGCTGCGGTGAGCCGAGATCGTGCCATTGCACTCCAGCCCGGGTAACAAGAGCGAAACTCCGTCTCAAAAAAAAAAAAAAAAAAAAAAAATCAGAGAAGAGGTATGGTGAGGAAGAAGGTAGATATGGGAAGAAAGAGAGAAGGTATGATGAGGAAGAGGCTAGGAGAAGCCCATCCAGTATTCACAAGTTTAACCACAACTTACTTATTTTTTAAATT